GTTAAACTAGAGAACTTTAGCTATTTTTTGAGCTAAAAATAAAAAATATTTGTTAGTAAAATTAAAAATATTTATATATAAGAAAAAATATATATTTTACTAATTATAATTAGTAAAAAATTTAAGCGTTGCATTATTTTTGATTGCCACTATATAATAATATTATTAATATTAATATAAATTATATTTAAAAATTTATAAATATATAATTACAATTAATAATAATAAATTTAACTTCTTAAATTTATTATAATTCAATAAAAAATTATTAAAAAATATATAATTTTTTATATATATTTATTAGTATCTATTAAAGAGTTTACTTAAGACTATTTACTAAATAATATTAATATTATTTTTTAATTAAATTTTTAAATTAAAAAAATTAATTTTAAAAAATAATTAGAAAAATTATATTATATAATTTACTAATAAAATTTTCATAAAATGATAATTTTTATCATATTTTTCTTTATTAAATAATGGAAATTTATCAAATTTTTGTCAGAATTTTACTAAAAATTTCTTATAATATTAATAAATAAACTTTATTTAGGATAATATATAAAATAACTTATTAAATTATTTTTAAGAAAAATAAATTTTTAATTGAACTTCAATTCAAATTTATAAGGGATATTACTAAGATATTTTATTAACTATATTAATTTTTTATTTTTAAATATTAAAAAAACACATAAATTATTTTTTTATTAATTTTTATTTGATTTCAAAAATTATTAAGTTTTTTTGTCACTAACTGTATATTGCGATACTTTTGCTATTTTATCAGGAATTAAAAATAAAAAAATATAAATTCTAATAAGAATTTTATTAATTCTATGCATTCTATCCACTTTTTTAGAATTGTGATTATGAGCAGAGTAAAGATTATTTATAACAACAAAAATAAGACAGATATAAGTAAAATTTTACAAGAAATATTTTTATTAGTATATTAGTGATTTAGACAAAATTTCGAGATAGAATTGTTTTTTTGTTTTTTGTTACGCATTACATGATTATACTTTACAAATTTTTTATTTTATAAGCTCTAATATAATTTATTTTATGATTGTGTCATATATTGTTATATAAATGTTTGAATGAAACAAACGAGCTAATATCTAAGGTTCTGTCCACGTGACATAATCATGTGATTCGCATGATATAAATATTTTCGATTTGGATTAGAATTAGAATTAAGATTAGAGCCAGAGTTAAGATAGTTAAATTTTGCAAGATATTTTTTATTAAAAGTTTATAAACAAAATTTTAAATTTTTTCAAAAGACTTAATATAATATGTATTTGTATAGCTGTGAATGTGTGTTGTCTCCAATTGTAACTAACAATTTTAGAGATTGATGTTCTTTATTAATTTACAAATTATGTAATTCGTTCTTTCAAATTCAGAAATAATGGAATTAAATCTTAATATGCTCTTTCAAATTCAAAATAACAATGCTCACGGTCAGAAAAACCATTTCTAGATTTCGCGGTTAACCCTTGAACTTGAATAAACGTCGAGACGCAACACAACATAGAAATCTTGAGACGACGTTTCGTTAAATCATGCGGACTTTTAATTTTGTAGATTCAGGAATGCAACTATTATATGAAAAAAATTTAGTTCGTCAATCTTTCATGTGAAATGTTTATGGTTTTTCTAGAGGCGCAAAAAATTTTATTTTAACGTGTAAACATGTTCTTTGTGATTATTCAGTGCTCTCATTTGCCCATTCATAATTAGCTTTAATAATCACAAATAAACAAAATAATATTTGAATAAAGCTAACAAATGGTTTATTTTTGAACACTGGCAATTGATTTCTTCCAAGCAGGTTTCTCACTAATATTTGTCCACCAACGTTTAACATTCGGCCTATCGCCCAAATCATATCCATTATTAATAACATAACTTAAGCATGGTAAATGCGCAATATCCGCGATTGAGTATTCACCAGTCAAATAATCTTTGCCGACCAACAATTTCTCATAGACGTCTAATACGCTGTCAACCTTTTTCGTGAGTTCTTCTAGTTTTACAGGGTCTGTTTGACCATGACCGAATATTGGTTTGATTATTTTTTCGAACACCCAAGCAGAGAACGGGGGGTCGAAATACGAGTATTCGATTGAGAGGAATTGTTCGAGGACGCCGAGTTTTTGTAGGTCTGCTGGGACCAGGGATGGTTTGTGTTTGGCCGCTAGGTACCGTACGATTGCTCGTGATTCAAAGATTTGATACCCATCTTCGTGGAGTACAGGAATTTTTCCACTATTATTATCATTTAGTATTTTTTGTATTTAAACTATCATGAAAAACAAAATACTCACAAAGGATGTTTATCTCTAAGATATTCAGGAGACTTTTGAGTCGCCCATTCTGGTTGCTCGATTTCAAACTCGAGGCCTAATTCGTTAAGAATAGCGATAACGCGTTGGGTACAAGTTGACTTGGGATGGCCAGTAATTTTGATAAGCATGCTGTCGAACTAACAAAATTGCCAAGTAATTTACTTAAAACACACAGTGCGCTTTGATCTTATTTATAACCTTTTTTTTTTGTTACATAGAATTAACAAAATTATTTGGGAGAATGCGTAAATATTCAATTAGAAAGATCGCGAACATTTGCTTTGAATAATGGGAAAACTTGATATATTGATTACTTAATCAATGAAGTGCGTTTACTATTATCTAAAAACTTGGCGATTTGTAATCAAATTCTTTAAATGTTAAAGCATGACGTTACAGATGCAGCTATTTCTGTTTCGTTGTTTAAAACGAGGTTTGTTTAGTAAATATTGTACAAGTAGATTGCATGAAACTGGAGTAACTTTGTTCTCGGATGATATACATGTATAATCCATATAATGACTATATCGATACATAATGTTTGGAGAAATAACCTTGCAATTATTTATAATGAAAGAAAGCTACTGGCAGGAGGTGTGTATGCATGCACGATGCATAATAATTTTTTGGTAATTCATTTACCTAATAAACATTTGTTTTGAAGGAAGCTTTAACAAATCAATAACAATACAGAAATCTGCGAAAATCAAAGCGTAAAAATACGTGCATTTTTGATTATCAGTGTTTATATGATTCCACATATCATGGTGTTACTTTACTAACCATACGATAGATGTACCAAATCGGGAATTGCGCATTATTTAATGTTTTTCTGACATTACGCGATTTTTATGTTTCTACGGCAACAGTAATAGAAGTAGAGTATCCAGTTTACTGCATTTCTCCGCAGCAATTGCTGCAAATTCTGCAAAATCAAAAAACGTCTAGATCGTTTAGATCGTTATGATGATCAAATTTAAAAAAATAAAAATTCGGTAACTTTAGGACTCGGAATATTCAATGACAAAATAGAATTAAAAGATAATATACTTAAGAAAAATATTTAATATTTATATTATTTTCTTTTAATTTATTAATAAATTTTAGTTTTATCTAAATTGAAAGAAATTTTTCCATTCTTATCAATCAATACTTCAAATATAGTGTGAACAAAAAAATCAGAATTTGAAATTAATTATAATTTTTAAAAATTACTCGATTAAGATAAAAATATATATCCTTTAATATCTAAGTTAAAAATTAATTTTAAAAAATGATTAGGAAAATTCAATTATGAAATTTACTAATTAAAATTCTGTGAAAATTTCATTTAATAATATTTTTCTTTATTATATAATGAAAATTTATTAAACTTTTATCAGAAATTTACTAAAAATTTCTTATAATCTAATAACCAAATTTACTTAAGAATAATATATAAAATAACTTATTAAAATTATTTCTTAAATATTAAAAAATAGTATATAAGTTATTTTTTATTATTTATATTATTTAAATAAAAATTTTTTTATTAATTTTTTATTTGAAATTAAAAAATTCCAATTTTTTTGTTCCAGACTGTAAATTATTCTTTTTAAAGGAAATAAATAATAAATACCAAATATATAATTATTTTTTATTTAGCATACTTTAAGATTAAAAAACAAAATATCTTTCTTTAATATCATATTATTTAAAAATAAATCATTATAAAAAGAATATGAATTTAAACAAGAAATTTATGAATTATTAATTAATAATAGAATGAACCTGGAAACGAACACTTTTTGTTGTAGTCGAGATGACGGATGATCAGAAAAATGTTAGAGGTATTCATCCAAATTCGGTTGTTTTCACCGAGTTCGGATGATTCGTGTGATTGGTTAGAGTTGTAATAATTTGGATGCTACTCGATGATATAATACAATGATTTCGTTAGTAGATTGCCTAAAATACATTAAAAAATTTTTTTCAGACTAATTAATTCTTGATAATTTTAAGATTGCCAGATGATGAAAATACTAAAGCTGCAGCTGCTAATGATTTGCAAATAAATAATCCTACTTATGAGTTTTATCCAGAAGTTGAACAAAAACCTTTTAATTTCTTGTCGACATGTAAGTTTTTCTTCTGTACCCTTACAATTCAATACAGAATAGATGGATTCACAATAAATCAAAATTCTACATGTGTACTCCATTTCAACCTATATCCAATAGTACATGTACTCCCCGCTTGCAGCAACACAATCTTCATATTCGCCCGTACAAAATTAACCTTATTCGACTACTCAACCGGAACCGTGAACAAAAAGTTTATCCGATATCCCAGGGTTCCCAAGATCATACCACTCACCGGATCATCGGTGATGCTTCCGCTGACATAAGAGAACAATTATCGACCGGAGCTTTTGATTTGCGGTAGTAGCACAAAAATGAAACGAACCGCAAAAGCTGTGGATAGTTGTGGGAGGTTGGATCTCGGGATTGGTTTGGAGTGCCCGAGTGGTATATGGAGGATTTTTTATGGGTTTCCGAAGGTACTCCGGATGCTGTTATTTTGGCGGATGGAACTGTTCTGTTTATTAAAGGTACTGTTTGTGGATGTGGTAAGAGGATGGAAAAACATCAATGCGCTCTTAAACCAAAATTAATAATCCATGCATCTAAATTCATAATGAGATAAAATTCAAACATCAAGCCGATCTGCCAGTAAAAACCCAGCACTCTTATGATCGAATAAAGAAAAAAGTTCAAAATGGACTGTATTCATCCCATCGGAAATTTCACGAGTATACCATTCGGTCGCCACATTAGTTGCTGATGGGTTAGTGTGAATAACGATTACATGTACAATGTTTCAAGTGATTTCTAACAAAGCTACAAACACGTGTACAACTACAGATAAATAGAATAATAGAATGATTTAATAGAACACTATGTATAATATTATAAAAATTGATAATAATACATGAACAATAATGGAATATCTTTATTCCTACTGCTTTTTTTGCTTATCAAACAAATTAGAATTCAACAATAAAGCATGAACCATTTTTCTTAACTTATGGATAAAATGCTAGATTATCAATTAAATTAAAAATTCCTGTCAATTTAGAAAAAGATTCCACAGAAGAAGAGAAATTAATACAATGAATATATTACATAGTAAATCAGTTATCCCAATAAATTATAGAAGCAAAACAAAATATAGAAGACAAATAATTATAATATTCATAAAGATTTAATAATAAAATTCAAAAAGAAATAATATTCAAAATTGGAAATAAAGTATTACTGTTTGATATGAAGTATTTGGAGATAAATTTCAATCCACTTGAAATAAAGAATAGTATTATATTCATGATTATGCTAAATATAACTTTTATAAACTTTGAACTCAAAATGAAAATATTCTTAAACACTCTATTAATGGAAGACAACTCAAATATTATTATAATTGTCAAGATTACTTTGAATTACAAATTATTATTGAGTAACTCACATGGATATCTTCTTTATTTTTGTAATATTCATCTTCAAATTTATCTTTTATTATATTTTATTCTTATTTTATAATTATCTTTCACAAAATTCTTAATATTAATATTACATTTTCAATAAACTATTAGTTCAGATTTATATAAATATTCTCTCTCTTTTTCTTATCTTTTTCTTTATTCTTTTATCTATTTTATCTTATATCAAATATCTTTTACTTTTATTATCTTTTATCTCTTTATATTTTTTTTATATTTATTATTTTTATTATTCTATTATATCTCAATTGTAACTTGGATTATATCTCAAATTATCAAATCTCTTAGAGAGATATATCAAGAAATACTTACTTAATAATTCTTTAAAATGATTACTTTTTCAACTTTTGAACTACTTGCTTATAATAACAAAGAACAAGAAATTTATATTTTTCTCTTGAATCTATTCATACAATCTGAATTTACTAAAGATATTGAAATAGATAATATTTTTCTTTTGGAAATTTAATTAACAATTAAATCTATTAATATATTTTTAGAAACAGTTAATACAACTACTAAATCAGACTTTGACTAGTTAAATATATTTATTATCACTTTTCTAAAAGATAAACCTGAAATTAATACTAAAAAAGAAATAGAATTTGTAAATTCTAATAATTTAATTACTTTTGAAAAAAAATCTGAATTACTTATTATTATTTCTAAAAAAATTAAATTTGTCTTTGAAAAAAATTGGTCAATAAAATTTAAAGAAATAGTACTTATTATTTATAATTCATTACTAAATAATAATAAAAAAATAATTCAATACTATAAAATTGGATATTTATTTTTAATTTAATCATATAAATATTCAAAGAATATATTAAAAATTAAAAAAAAAATTGATGACTCTCTTAATAAATATATAATAAGTCATATAATATTACTTAAAAAGTATTTTATATTTATTAATCTAAAGTAAAAGTACTTATTAATTGATTTAATTTTATTTTATTCAAGTTAAATTATTTAAAAAGAAAAAAGATATTGAAAATTATTGCTTAATTTTTGCAGAAGCAAAAATCTTTTGAAGAAGAATCATATATAATTATAGTAACATAAAATTTTCTAATCTCATAATCTTTTTTTTTAATTATATAAAATTTTATTTTTCTATAATTTTATATTTTATTATAAATATTATATTTTAATTTCTTTATTTGAAATTTACATTTTTAATTTATCTTATATATATATTTATTTTAGTATACTTTATAGAGTAATTAGTCAAAGATCTCTTTTATTCTTTATGAAATAATAAAATACTAATATTAAAATATTTATATTTTTATAAAATAATAAAATACTAATTATAAGATTATTTTGTTAATAGTTGTAAACAAGATAAAATGCGATATGAATAAGTTTTAATTTTATAACTTATAATTATTTTTATTATTTAAAAGTAT